TATCAAGAATATTTATCCACTTCCCTTTCCTTCCTTTCCCTCCTCTTCCGTTTTTAAAAGAAATGATATGATATTTCTCGCTAATTGAATAACACAAATTCAGAAAGGAGGGGGAAAAGGAAACCGCCCCCCTCTCTCTCTCAAAACAAAAAAAACATTTAGTCAAGCTTCGAGAGAAGCGAGTAATGGAATAGATCAGACATGAAAAGAAAAGCCAAATCAAAGAGATGGAAAAGGAGGAAGGGAACGAGAGCGAAAACCTTCTTCGCCTACAGTCATAAGCCGGGATTTTTTCGGGATTTAAAGTATACTTCCCTTCAAGGGTACCTGCCTACTACGTACCTACTACGTAGTACGTACCTTTGTAGAAGGAGGGGGGAGGGGTTCGAGAAGGAATTTGGAGTAATCCGAGGCTAGGCCGAGAAAGTATAATATAATACTCCGTCCGGTACGGCGAGTCACCGTATCGGTGCATGCACGCATGCAGCCAGAAAACCATTGGTGTACTGTACAGTATTGTACATAAAAGTAAATATTACCACACCACTACCGTATCGTCGAACCCACCATTCTTGCATCCCCTTCCCCCGTTGATAGTTGATCTTGAGGCGAGGCGAGGCTAAGCAAGCGAATCGATCCATAAATGAAGTGGAAATTCTCTACTTGTTGTACGTATTACAACTTTGCACGTTGTATGTGTGTGGTTGATTGATTGGACGAGGAGAATCGACGCGTGGTTTCTTGGCCGCGGGTGAGTACCGTATGGGGTTTGAGTTTGGATTCCGGGCTTCAATTTTTGAGTTCGACTTCGAGTTTTGAGTTTGGGCTTGAGGTGGGGGTTTTCGCGTTATGGAGGTGGGGGTGGTCGAAGATAAGCATTGGGAAATTCGGATAAAAGTAGATAAGTAATATGTACGTAATAGGAAAAGGAGGGCGAAGGGTATGGGTATAAGAGGAGAGATTTAGATACCGGTATAGTATGTGTATAGATGTAGCTATGTGTATGTATCAGATGTGCGTGTCAGATGTATGTATGTGTTTATCGCTCCTCTTTCACCATATCATAACAAGAGGAGAACTTGGTAGAGAAAACGGCTTTTATATTCCTAGGGATCGCTATAGGATAAACAAGGGTATCAGATGTGCCTGCATGAATCATAAATGAAAGAATCAAGATGGATATAGCGCGGGGCTCCTAACTTTCTACTGGAAGAAGGAAGTGTAAGTCACGTGTTCGCTTGCCGTGCTCGTTACCAGCTTCCTGCTCTACAGGGAAAGGGGGAAGGCGAAGCTTGACCTTGCTTTCCGATCTATTCTCTTTAAAAATTGGCTTATTCGAGCGAATAAGCTCATTAAGTTATATGCAGCAGTCAATTACTGTAAGACAGAGAAAACGCCGAGTAAGCTAAGCCTGAGGCATCCTCAGCAAAAGAAAGCAGTCCAACTCTCCAAGATGCTACTCAACAGAGCCTTTCCTTCATAGATAATATGGATCACAGGAAGAGAAACAGAGGCGTCGTGTAATCAACCTTGATAGTTTCCGGGCCTTTACAGCCACCACTGGTCCTCAAAGTATGTAGTATAAGTCGCTGCAAAGATATCAAATGACGCTAGATAGAGGCTAGATAAGAAAGAGAAAAAAAGCATCAAACGACGCTAATAGAAGGCTAGATAATTCCCCTCCAAAAAATCAGAAAAACGCTCGAAACCCCAAACAATTGCCCAATACCCAAACCTGTGGCGGATGTCGTATGCAAGGTGATATAAAGATGATCAACCTGTTGCATTCCGGATGTGAATAGGCTATCTGCACATTTCATGATACACAGTGTATACATGCTCTCTGCAAACCTTCATGTACTTAGAACAGTCCCTATCTCAATCCACAGACCAGTATTGCGTAGTAAAGAACTCACTCATGACGCGATCATACTCGCAAAGAGAAGCAGGAAGATAGGTATGAATCACAGCACCTAAGGAAAGAAATGATTCCAAAGAATGTTCCCAAGGAGTTGGAGATGTGGTTCCGGCTCTTCTAAACGCTACTACTTTGGTAGTTTAGCCTCTACGATTGTGCTCGAGCTCTGGGGTAAGGTGAGGACGCGAGAGAGGAGAAATGCGGCAAGAGCAAAATGACGATGTAAAAATCTAGGAGGTTTTGTTGTTCGTTTTGTGCCTGTTGGCCGCGCCTGCTCTCTTCGAAATGGGGTACGAACCAGGAACTGGCGGGTATGCGAAAAATTGAATCTGGGTTGACCTAGAAGAAGGTAAGTCTGGGACGCGAACGCCGGAATAGAGCAAACACGGCTTGTACATTTTCTTTTTTAAAAGTGAATATTGACCTGGAAGAAGGCAAGTCTGGGACGTCAGCGCTAGAATAGCGGAAGTCATTAGAATAACGTGAAAACGTCACATAATGAGCCACACAAGAATCTCTATAAAAAGGAAGCCGCTCCCATTCATTTTTTTATTCCCACCATCGCACATAGACAACGCACTTGGATCTAAGAACACAAGTACCTTCGCATACCTGCTTTGAGAGACATAAGTCAATACACTCGAACCTCCTCTCTCACAAGCGCCTCACCTTCATGCACACTCTCGGCTTGGATTCTCAGAAAAACAGCGACAACAACAAGTAAAAACAACGACAAGGATATCAACGACAACAATATCAACGACAACAACAAAGTCAACATAGATCTAAACCGGTAAGTGCTGACAATCTGTCTTGAGAGGAGAAGAGCCTCACTAACAATACACAGGATCACTACCAAGCAACAATCTTCCAGGGCGAAAGAGACCAACTTGTAAGTACCTCCAACAGCACCTCATCTCAATATCGGCAGCTCCTGACATTTATTAGTCGTACGGGATGCAGCACGGTCCTGAAGCGGCCCCTGGATTCGTCGATGCTCCGCAGCGCGATAACTTGGGGCTTGCTTTACAACCTACAACCCAATCCCAGGATAAGCCTTTCAGAAATCGGATCAGAGATATCCTTGACGGGGTCGATGCTATGCCCGGCACCAAATATCATTCAAGTGAGCCCATGGCCCTCAACCTGCTGCTCCAATCATGGGAGCCCAAGGCCTCGGCTGGCGCTTCCAGCACCGGGAAGACGATTCTTGTGGCTGCGAAGAATGCCAAAACGGGAATGCCAGGAAGTCCCTGGCCGACGAGGAAGTGCAGAGTGACTGGCCTGCCTAAACGCCTGACGCTCCAGGACGACTGCCCCGGGTATTCGGAGCGCAAGGATGAACGAACCTGGGTTAAGTGGTGTGAGGCTGATAATAGGTTGCCTAAACGTATTGATGGATACGAGACGGGTGACAGTGATCTGGAATGGTCTGAATTCCAGGCAAAGAGACGAGAGCAGCAGAAGAAGAGACAAAGATGAGGGATGATGGTGATGAGGGTTTTTCTCGCACCTGCGTGGATTTAGGGAGTTTTGCGGACTGCTTGGGCGTTCGGGATACGTGCGGTGTAAAAAAGCTGAGAGACTGATCTGGACCTGTTATCAGTAGCTAGACAGCAAATTAAACAGATCAAAACATGGCAAGCCTAAACAAATAATGAGAAATATATGCAGCATCTCAGGAGTGAATCAGATGATGGGTATTTACATCTTCTAAAACTGTTTCATTTAGTGCCAGTAGCGGTAGGATCTTGAGCGAGCTCTGTGGTTGCCGTGCCATGCTTGTACTTGCAGTGTGCTTGCAGCGTGCTTGCAAAGGAAATCTTGGGCTCTGATGAACGGTCCGAATATATAATTGTGGTTCTGGCCTGCGAATGGGTGGCGGACTGTGCTCCAGCCCGGCATAATTATATCTCGACAATCCAGGGAGCTGTCCTGCATCCAAGAGCGAGGCCGAAAGCAAAGAAGGCGGAAGCATTTAGAGCGCGGAACGTCGAAGCTTGATTGAAGCTGTTGCATGGTTGGATTCACAATGGCGATGTTGCGCTTCGACGTTGACGTTGACGTTGACGTTGACGTTTGACGTTGAGGTTGAGGTTGAGGCCGACGGCAGAATGATCGACTGACTCCAGCTTTCATATCTTCACCGCCCGAGCTCGCCCACCGACAGAATCTTTGGGGAAGCGTGCCTGGAATATGAGGCAAGATAGTTGTAGATGGTCCAGTGCCTCCTGCCTTTCCCCAGACCACGGATCTCCCGCTCTGGCGCTCCATCACCTGTCTGTTGGACCGCTCCGCTACTTACGGAAACGACAACCCGCCATCATGTTGATTCGTTTCGATTCGGCACACCTGCCCTACCCTGTCCTTGGCCCCGGGGAATCTACGGAGCGTTGGCAGTGGGCACGCTCTCATGCATCCGGTTTCCGGTCTGGTGGCAGCAGGGCCTGGGCGCGGCGGCGGGGCCTGGGCGCGGCGGCGGGGCGTCGCGGGGCTGATGGTTGATCGATGGCTCTTGGCCTGGGCGCACGCTTACGCTTAAATAGAGAGTCGATCCTTCCCCTCGGTACGCGCTATGTTTTGGCTGCGATGTTCTGCGGCATCTTCTTTTTGTGCGCCCTGGATCCTCTCGTCGCTTCTTCCTCTCTCACCTCTTCATTTCCGACCTCTTCTCTCAAAGTTACTGTCAAGTTGCGCACATTCAGCTTCGCCCGGTAACAAGCAACTACCAAGTCCTCATAAGCACTTTCACCGTCTCAGCCACTTCGGTCTCACAGTGTCACTATCTCAATCGACATTTCCCAAGATGGACTCCATGCCGATCCGGACCCTCTCTTACCACGAGCTTGACCCTCTCAAGAACGTAGTCTTCTCTACAAACTATCTCCAGCATGTTGAGAATGTAGAAATCGAGACGCAAGAAACAAGACCGGAACACCTCCCTGAGGGGATCTCGGAAACGGACGAGGAGAAGCAGAAACACTGGTTCATTGGGAGTATCGACTGCGGCACAACTTCCTCGCGATTCCTGATTTTTAATGGCGAAGGGAACCCAGTTGCGAGCCATCAAATCGAATTTGACAATATATACCCTGAGTCAGGGTAAATCACTGACAGAACGCTTCTCTACATTCCCAAAGCTAACGATTCTTGCAGATGGCATGAACACAATCCGCAAGAGCTGGTTGCTTCGGTCGAGGAGTGTATAGATAAGGCAACTGCCAAGTTTCAAGAGGACGGCTATACCACCAGCCAAATCAAGGCTATTGGGATTACGAACCAGCGAGAAACGACCATCTGCTGGGACACGAATACTGGGGAGCCTCTATACAATGCGATCGTTTGGCCGGACACTCGAACTACATCTATCGTGCGAGAACTGAAGAAGAGAGAAGGCGCAGATGAACTCCAGCAACTCTGTGGATTACCCCTCTCAACATACCCCTCGAGTGTGAAGCTTCTCTGGCTTTGCCGCAACGTTGACGCTGTAAAGAATGCGTACGACGAAGGCCGACTGTCTTTTGGAACAGTGGACACGTGGCTGATCTTCAAGCTTAATGGCGGCAAGGAAGCTGGTATACATGTTACAGATTCTTCCAACGCCTCCCGGACGATGTTCATGAACCTCCACACTCTCCAATACGACGATAAACTCCTAGACTTCTTCCAACTAGACCGGAAAAATATCACACTTCCTAAGATCGTGCCTTCTTCTGACAGAGATGCTTTTGGTGCCCTGGCATCTACCGCCCTGAAAGGAATTAAGATCACAGGCTGTCTGGGTGATCAATCTGCAGCTTTGGTTGGCCAATGCGGATTCAAACCCGGCGAAGCCAAGAACACATACGGAACTGGCTGTTTCCTCTTATACAATGTTGGCGACAAACCTGTCATATCGAAGTACGGGCTTTTAGCTACTGTTGCTTACGATTTTGGTGCTGGACGGAAGCCCGTCTATGCGCTTGAGGGTAGTGTTGCTGTTGCTGGATCTGGTGTCAAGTTCCTCATGAATAACATGGGCTTCATCAAGCACTCGCACAAGATTACGGAATTGGCGGAGAGTGTCAGGGACAACGGTGGTGTAGTCTTCGTGACAGCCTTTAGCGGTCTTTTCGCTCCATACTGGATCGACGACGCCAAGGGAACACTTTGTAAGCTGCAACTGGTATGAGACGAGGACCTCCTAGAGCTAACAACCATCTAGTCGGCATCACTGCGCACACTCAACGCGGACACATTGCACGAGCAACGCTGGAAGCTACCTGCTATCAGACAAAAGCCATTCTGGATGCCATGGAGAAAGACTCGGGCCACAAGCTCGGGAAGCTTGCCGTCGACGGCGGCATGTCCAATTCCGACCTCTGCATGCAGACACAAGCCGACATCATTGGGATCCCGGTAGATCGGCCCGTGATGAGGGAAACAACAGCTCTTGGAGCCGCAATCGCTGCCGGCTTCGCTGTTGACATCTGGAAGGAATTCGACGAACTTAAGGAAATAAACAAAGAGGATCGCAAGATCTTTACCTCCAAGATTCCCAAGAAGAAGAGTGATGCGATGTTCAAGAAGTGGGAGCAAGCCGTGGAGATGAGTAAGGGGTGGGTATTGAGTCCTTCGGATGATGAGGAGGACGAGGAGGCAGAAGTGGAGGAGTAGAGGTGCAATTGTTTTTGGGAGTACATGTTGTCATGATTGAGCGAGTGCTTTGAACAGTTTAATACCGATATGATTAGAGTGAGTAATTTGTACAATACCCCGAATTCGAAGTCGATAACATTGGCGCTCTTGGACGTTTGCTTTCAGATTGGCCACTTGGCTTGGGTGCTCTCCCTCCTGAGTTCTTCCTCGTGTCACTGTCACTGACTGGCACATGCTTTTGAAAATTCTTTGCGCTGGGCCCTGCACTGCACTGGCCACTCACGTGCTGGGGTAAACTCAATGGTACCTAGGTAAGCTTATGACCAGTACTACAGGTACCGGTAGGTACATACTACGTACTACGTACGTTGTACTGGTAGGTACGTCCCTAGGCACCTGGACATATTCCTCGTCTCTTCACTTTGTACCCTATGGGCAACTTTTATCACCACATGCGAATCCTCTTCTTCTTGAATACGGAACATTGCCTTCCTCCGCGTGACAGCCCGCTTTACGCAATATCACTGTACTGTAGATACCGCCCTTATCAATTTCCCCGGACTCTGGAGCGCGTTTGGCGTCTGGCGTTTGGCGTTTGGCGTTTGGCGTTTGGCGTTTTGCGTTTTGCATGTGAAAGTGCTTACCCAAGCCCAGCCAAGAGCGACTTGGCTTTTCGTAGCTAGTCTAGTCAGCTCCACCAATTACACTCGCCTATCTGGGGACCTCGGCTGGTCGAGACAACTACGTACTAGTACGTAGTAAGTTGCGACGCAGGATTCAAAGTCTATCTCGTCGATCAGAACTTCCCTTCTCTCTTCTCTTCAGAACCCGCTCTCCTCCAACCCAACGAGTATTCCTTTTCTAAACCTACGAAGCTCTTCTAAAACGAAAGTCAATATGTCTGCAGGTAGGTTTGCAGCAAAGAAAGAACTATCGTAAGCGAGGCTCACAACGGACGTAGCAAGACAACGCCTTGCACAGGTCTCTGACCATCTAGCTGGCTCGCAGAGCAAGATCACCCCTACAGAGGGCGATATAGGGGGCTATGGATCCTCCGGGCGAGCAGGCATCCTGAAGAAGAGTCCAGATGATGTACGTGTCCCTTGCCATCTACTCTTTCATCTCCCTCCCTCACCCACTAACTCAACACTCACTAGGTCGTCGTAACAGCCTGCCTCCGCACCGCCTTCACCAAAGGCGGCAAAGGCGGCTTCAAGGACACCGCAGCGGCAGACATGCTGGTCGGGGCCTTCAAATCCCTCATCGAGCGCTCGAAGATCGATCCTGGTCTCGTGGAAGACATTGCTGTAGGCTCTGTGCTGCCGCCGGGTGGAGGAGCGACAGAGTTCCGTGCTGCCGCCCTGGCGGCTGGGTTCCCGGTCAGCGCAGCGGTGAGGAGTCTGAATAGGCAATGTAGCTCGGGGTTGCAGGCGTGTGTGGATATTGCGAACGCGATTAGTGCCGGCATGATTGAGGTTGGTGTTGGTGCGGGGGTGGAGAGCATGAGTCTGCAATACGGGTATGTCTAGTTTTTATCCTCGTGCGATTTTGATACCAGGATTTTGCTGATGATGTCGCTTCTGCAGACCTGGTGCAGTCACCGAGTTCTCCGAGCTCCTCGAATCCCACCCCGAATCTGCGAACTGCAAAGTCCCCATGGGCGTCCTCTCCGAGAACATGGCCAAGAACCGTGGCGTCACCCGCGCCGTGCAAGATGCCTTCGCAGCCTCCTCATACCAGAAAGCTACCAAGGCCCAAGCAGCCGGTCTCTTTGATGAGGAGATCGCGCCATTGACAGTCAAGTGGGAGGATCCCAAGACGGGAGATGTGAAGGAGATCACTGTTGCGAAGGACGACGGTATTCGCGCTGGCGTGACTGCCGAGAGCTTGGCCAAGATCAAACCTGCATTTGCGAAAGACGGATCTATTCACGGCGGAAATGCCTCGCAGATCTCCGACGGTGCTGCGGCCGTGCTCCTCATGAAGCGCTCTACAGCCGAGCGTCTCGGTCAAACCATCCTGGGTAAATACGTCGCGGCGTCCGTTGCAGGTGTTGCTCCCTTGCTCATGGGTATTGGCCCTTGGGCTGCTATCCCAAAGGTCTTCGAGCAGACGGGTATTAGCAAGGATGATGTCGACATCTTTGAGATCAACGAGGCGTTCGCTAGTCAGTGCGTGTGGTGCGCAAACGAGCTGGGCATCGATGAGAAGAAGATTAATCCCAAGGGAGGCGCAATTGCGTTTGGACATCCGCTGGGGTGCACGGGGGCGAGACAGGTTAGCACGTTGCTTTACGAGTTGAGGAGGACGGGACAGAAAGTTGGGGTGACGAGTATGTGTGTGGGTACGGGAATGGGAATGGCTGCGGTTTGGGTGGCGGAGTAGATGGAGAGCTGTGTATGGTTATGATAAGAGGGCAGACGAGAACACATTGGAAATGAGAATGAATAGTTGGATATTGAGGATAGCGTGTATTGTACAGCATCGCATGCGGTGATGGTGTTGACTCCGTGATCGGCTAGTGACCCCCTCTAGAGCATTGCGCGTGTCCCTAGGTACTTATATCCATCATCCGAGGCAAGAGAATTTGAGCTGGCAACTTAGATCACAAGTGTCTACGTATAATGAGTAATGAGTGTCTACCGAGGAAGTACGTGGAAGTAGGTAGGTAGGTAGGTAGCGGGCGGGGGGCTTTTTCGGCCACCGGCCCGGAACAAATTTACCTACTTTTTACATGAGTGGTTTTCCATCGAGGCAGGTATCGTGAGCTTAAGCGATTGAGCCATTATGACATTTCGCCGGCTGATACAATCTTAAAGCCTGTTCTTGCTACGAAAGTGCAGAGGAGCAGGTACGAAAACCCTACCTGTTCAGTTAGTGTTTCTAAACTGAAACCTCAAAGTGGGCCGAGGAGGCACGGGCGGGCTTTCATTCAGTTGAGTGTTACCTAGTTCTACGTTACTTACCACCGAGAAACCTATTCGGATGGGTTTTGTAAACTGGAATGTTCTTGGTGATATCGGTCACTACTTGTGGGTTTCCAGTTGAGTTTGGGGGTTTCTTTTTTCTTTTCAATTGCCCTTTTTCCTTCTTCTGCTATTTTACAGAATACTCCGTCGAGAGAGAGGGGTGGAGGGGGGCTTTCGGTTACCATCAGTCCAAGAAAGTGTCCCAGTCCAAGCAAATGTACCCATCTTACTCTGTAAACACTATGCCAATTTGGATTTAAAATCATCAAAAGTTACCAAAAACCGCGGCGCACATCGAAAAATAACTTTATAACGCCATCAGATATTGTAATGAGAATTACATTGACGAACTTCTTATTGGTGACGCACTCGTGTGTGAGCCAGGCAGGCTCTAGTTGTAAGTATCAAGGCGGATTCGTTAGCGGGGTTAGCGGACCCGTTGGGTTGGCGGGACTCGAGATTCTGGACTCGAGACTCACTTGTTTCGAATGTCCCAAAGTGCTTGCAGACTATAGAAATTTCGGGATGTTCAAGTGGTACTGGTGTGTCCATCAAGAACGTGTCGCAGCTGGCCATTCAAAGAATATATATATATATATATATATATATATATATACACGACCATATCTGGTCCTCGTCCAACTCTCACCCACATTCCGTTCCCCATAGGTACTCACTCACTCTTACCCACCTTGTTCGTTCGTTATCGGCTTATCGTAGTGGATACCTGACGTTGTGTTGTCCTGCTGTGAGCTAATCCGACACGCTAACCCTCATCAGTCACCCCCCTCCTTCCCTTTGAACCGCTTGACTCTGGACAGAATAGTAAGTCACTCGGACTCTGAGCTATCGACTCGATTCCCATCTCCTTCTCACGCTGAACATCCCATCCCATCCACATCACATCCATCACCGCTTTTCCACATTATTCTCCGCCAACTCTGCTACTTCTATTCTACCTAACCAGGGACGCCCAGCCCAGACTTACTCGTACCTGAGGAACAGCCAGCCAGCCAGCCAGCCAGCCAGTGCCTCCGGCAGGAACAACCTTTGGTACGTAGATTGCCTTGCCTCCTCCGACCGCCAGCGGATGTACCACCCCCCCCTTCCCCCCCCAAAGCTATTGTGACTTCACCCACCAAGGCTCCTGTCATTTTTTTCTTCTGATTACACCTGCTGCTGCTACACCCATTCACCCATTCACCAGTTCACCCATTCACCCGTCCATTTCCACGTTGCGTTCTCCGGCTGTGCTGCTGTGCTGTGCTGCCCCATCCTATCCTTCTGATGGGGACGGTATGACATGATCCAGCAAGGCTAACACCATGTCGACTTCCCACAGCGAGTTCCTGCACTCTCCAGACCAAAACCCAAACCCAAACCCAGACTCAGACCAAGACCAAGACCAAGACCAAGGACAGCCCGTCGTATCTTCCTCTGCCCTGCTACGCTATCCTGTTCCGGCTGCAGACGAGCGAGTGACGAACTGGGTTGAGAGCATAACCGCAGCACAGATGTCAGCCCCCAGCGAGTTCCCCTCCGACGAGGGCAACCTCGGCGAGTCTACCTACGAGTTCGTCGACACAGATACAGAGAGCCGTGACGACAATGCCACCGAGTCCGTGGCGTCGACCGATTTCGGACGTCCAGACGATGTTGCGAGCCTCGCAGACACCGAGGGAGACGAGAGTGGAGACGAGGATGATGCAGGCGCCATGTCGGTCCCAGCTCTGCAGAACCTCAACCATACGGTCGATGAGGCTTTCAATACCCCTACAATAGCCCGCAGTTCGACAGCACTCTTCGAGGATCTCGACAAGCCTCTTGCTCAGTCTATCGAATTCGAAGAACCGTACACCCCCGGTGCTGTCTCGGTCAAACATACCGTCGCTGAGCTCAGTGAAGACCAGATGGCGAATGCGTTCAAGGGCATGACACTCCAAGATCCTCCGAAGCCGATCTTGATTACCATCCGGCAGACTATGACCAAGCAAGGCCTCTCTACCCGAGATCCTCTTCGGATTCTCTATGTTGGAAGCCACTCAGCTAAGCAAGACGTCATCCACAAGATTGCTAGCTCTGTTACGGCTTCGGTGGAAGGTAGCAATCGTGCCGAATCTCTTCGTCAGTCCAGCTCTCAACTCTACAATGTTGTGCCGATCTCAGCCTTTGGTTCGGAGCGTACTCCGGAAATTGAGCTTATGCACTCCTCCGGATACCAGATCAAGGTTGAAGACTGCACCAGTGCTGCGAGCATGAAATTTGAGGATAGTCCCGAGAAGCCTGATGTGATCAAGATGGTGCTCGACGAGAATTTCGTACATCACTCTGTTCCTGAAGGACAGGGATTCATTGTTGAGCCTCATTGGGATTTACCGCATGTGGCAATCTTCTACTGCTCTGACGGAGACGACCTCGAGGCTCGGAGAACCAGAACAAATGCCAGAAAGTTCATGACCCGCCACTCTATTCCCTCGATCGTCATCTCTCACAAGCAACTTTTCGAACGAGGTCAATGCATGTCACTGGACCAACATTCAATTCACATGTGCCTGGAGTCTCGAGATAGCAGCAGCAGAGGTAATGTTATCCACCAGAGACTGCCGATCGACCTAGCCTCTTTCTTGAATATCGATGCTCGTCAGATGAATCGAAATCTCGCCTTTCTTACTGGTCTCTATGATACCAAGAACGCCAAGGCCCTGCCAAACGCACCTCAGAGATTCGATCCCAGCAATCCTCAAGATCTGGAAAAGACCTCCTATAGCGTCAACTTCTTCCGCAACAGAAATGGGGCTGCGTTGTGGAGAGCTGTGGTACCGGTTAGCATGTTGGTCATGAGTGTCTTAATTGCTTCTCTCACGGGACTGCCAAGCTACAGCTTCTCCAAGGTCGCCTCGTCACCAGCGATGACCATCAACAGCAAAATCGTTCCGGCTGTCTCCATTCCTTCCTCTGTAGCACTGACATCTTCCGCCTCCGTCCCCAGCATAACGTCTCTGTCGTCATCGGTGGCAGCCAAGGCATCAGTCAAGACAGTCACAGTCACACAATCCATTGCTCTTGCATCCGGATCAAAGAGCTTGTCTGTCTTACCTTCGGTGGACCTTGGGAAAGCCGCCCAATCTGTGCATGTGAAGCCTGCCAACAAGTCCTATGTCTGCAGCGCCGAGCTTCTGGGAGACAGAGAGATTCTTATCCGCATTCCGTCGGCGACAAAGCTCAGCTGGCTTGCCAAAGAAGCCATGCTGGTCAATATTACCAGAAATAACGTGACTGTTGACACCGATAGAGCATATACTTCTGATGAGGGAATCGTTCTCTTACTACCCAAGAATGAGGCTTACGGAGTTCTCAACATTTCGATCACCACAACGAAGAAACCTAGAGTTAATGAGACTTTCCAACTTGATTTAGGATCCACGGCATCTTGGCAATCTTTCTTGAACAAGCTGTCTTCATATTTGCCAGAAGATAGCCACTTCGTTGACTCTAGCATTTTCTCTCACGTTTACCAAGCTGCCGAGCATATGGCTGGAGATGCAGTTCACCAATCTCAGGTCACTCTACACCAAATGGAAGAGGCTGGAAAGGCAGCAGTTGACCAGGCAGCCCAGGCTGGAGAGGGTCTCGTGGAGCTGGCGAAGTCGGTTTCTCTTGAGGCTGCTAAGCGTACAGCCATTCTTTCCCAGCAGGTCGGCATCCATGTATCTGGAGCCAAGGCAAAACTTGCGAAGACATTCGAGTCATCTCAACACCTTCGTAAGCCGCTCGATGAGGGGCTGGTCAAGGCTCAGATCCAGTCTAAGCTCCTGTGGTTGAAGATGCAGGGCAAGGACGAAGAGTACCGCGAGTATCAGCGTCGTGCGGCCGATCTGACGCGTCGCAAGGCGGAGAAGTTGTGTAAGTCCCAGAAGGCCACTTTCGTAGAGCAGAAGAAGGCGGATTGGCGGGCGAAGAAGGCTGCCAAGAAAGCGGCTTTGCAGGCGAAGAAGGCGCTCTCCTGAGCATCTTTTAATTTGGATTTTTCTGTAGTTGGGATGTGGGCGTATTGGCTGCATCGATCGGATTTCTCTCTGGGTGTTGGTACTACTAGGTGGGGGGTCTCTCACTATTTGACCGGGAGTTGCCTTCTTTTTTAGCGATACGGTGGGCATGGGGGATGGGGTATGGATGGTACTTGGTCTTCGACGAGCATGGGGCTTGGTATGAATACGAGAGAAAGAATAGGGTCTCGTGAATGAAGAGTGGATTTTGGGTGGCAGGCATTCCGATATCTATGGTAATTCATATGCTGGTTGGTGTATAGGTCAATATAATCTTCTTCTTCTTCTTCTTCTTCTTCTTCTTCTTCTTCTTC